TGTTATGTACCGTATTGTCCCGAATATAAGACGACCCTGATTATAAGACGACCCCCCCTTTTTCCAGATGTACCTTTTTGAAAAAGGCTTTTTAAAAACCAAATCTTGTTTTTTCTCAGTAAAACACATTTTGTCTTCAGTTATTTTCATATTGCATATTTTTCCTATTTTTATTTTTGTTTTGAAAGTATGGTAAAAACTGGTAAACTGTACCAACAATCACATTTAAAAAATATTCACTTTTTGATATACCATTAAAAAAAAAAACAGGTAGCCCATCTGAATTAGGACATTTAGGCTATCCATCTAATAGTAGCCTACCAAAATCTTATTAACAGTAGAAGTTAAATCTTACTGTAGTCTTCAAATCTGGGTACTGTCTTACGTTTTAAAATCACAAAGGGAGTTTGGTCCCATCAGGCTAACATGACAGTCATGACTCATGCAGCTGTAAGGTTTTCTGCTTCTTTTGTTTTTACTCGCGATCTTTACAACACGCATTACATTACGTATTTCATGGCACACTCGTTTTATGCGTATTTGGCGCCACCTATTGTTGTGGGTGTATTATTGACATGTCAAAGTCTAGACCCTGAGTATAAGACGACCGCGTTTTTTCAGATGTATTTTCAAGAAAAAAACATCGTCTTATATTCGGGTCAATACGGTATATACATATGTAAGGATATACATTTATCCAGTCATTTGTATTTCTCACTTCCAGTTTCATGGATATCACATGGGGACGAGTCCAAAGACCATTACTAGCTGATAAATTTGCTTCCACCAAAGCACCACCACATTATCAGTCTGTACACAAACTCTGCAGCCTTTTAAATCAATAAACAGTGTTCAGCCTTTGAAATACTTTCAATGCAATTACCAGAAGGCATTAGTAATCCCTTCAAAAGCAGACCTCCGTTCTTGAAAACACCATGGAGAAATCTGTCAGGAAGGTCTGTTTTTCCCTGAGGTTTATTTCATTAAGACAAAACATGGGACTGCGCTGATCAGACTCATTTTAATACTTTTGTTTGTTCACGTGTTTCATTTGTGCTGTTCCTTTGACATTACATAGACCAGATGGGCTTTCTCTCTACTCTTATCATTCACATGCACAATAACATTAGAAGGAATAATAGACAAAACTAGAGGTGACATGAAAATGGAAGGAAATGGAAAGAAAAAAGACAGATTGATGCGTTGCATAAATCTTTGTTCATGGTAGTAGTAGGTCCCCCCCTCCCCTCCCCTCCCGCACATAATTTGTAACATTGCTTGTTTAAACACAACAAGCCAATTAAATCTTGTTTTTAAATCAGGGACAGAGATAAAGCTCTTGTTTAAGCAAGCTGAGTGCTGACTTTAAACATCTTTCACAGATCATTTCCTTTTTCAATTTATTTGTGGACAGTTGTGAAAATACACTGTTCAAAATGAAGGAGTAATCAGCCAATCATAGGATTATGTTCCTATATTTTGTTGTTTTTATATTTTTTATAGTACTTTTCATCCGATTTACTTTTGCATGTGGACAAAACAAATGAATACCCACTCATAGATTGTAGTGCTTACCTCACATATTGGAACGCTCTTGTCTGAGACCCTGAACCATAGACCTGAAAAAGTTGCAGGAGAAACAAACAGAACCACAATCAGTCATCAGAGCACATGTAAGGAGCTTCTACAAGGTGACTGAGGAACAGTCAATAAGTATGAAAACTCCTCAAGTCAGCTGAAGTGTTTACAATAATTTTTTTTTCTCTCTCCCCTGAAGGTAGGGCTGGGTGATATAGCTAAAAAAAAATGTATCACGATATAATGATTCATTTCATTCGGTATCAATAATTATAAAAAAGCAGTAGAAAAAAGGTTTAAATTTAACCACTGTATACCACTGTAACTAAACAAAAACCTCCTTTCATATATTTTATATGCAGACAAATAACTGTTGAGGAAACTTTTGGCTTGTCTCCTGAGGCCACAGGAGGGTGCAATTAGCAAAATAATGCACCGCATTAAATTGTTTATTCAATGCAATGAAATAACGACTGTCTATAAAAAATTTAAAATAACATTTAAAGATCAAATATAATTTCATAAATTGTATGAACAATTATGAACAAAACAGCATCATGTATTTATGCATAGCTTAATACAGCCGAAGTGCCGATCACACAGATTGCATTTAATAAAACCCCCACAAATTCTCAAGACATGTTTTCTAAAAGTTGAACCTCTTTTAACTTTACATGGCTTTCTATTCATCTCTTGTGTGAGACGCGAGTGCAACAGTCATAGTTTTCAGTCTCAAAAATGCGCAGAATATGCGTTCTGTGTGAATGGTTTGTTTCGGTTTTAACCTAACCAAGATCTTCTCCGCAGTGAGCTTCTATATTTCTCTAATATTTCTAATGAAAAATGCAGCAGCGGAGCATCTTGTGGGTTTAACTGAATAGACTAACAAAAACATTAAAGCCTAGTTCAAACTACACGACTTTTGTCACCCAATGACTCTATCCCGTCCCCAAACCACGTTTTGTGACAAAAACACACGTGAGAAAAGGAATGGAAATTTATGCGAAAAGACACGTGAAATAAGAGTTGTTTATTTTAAAATGGACGTTGGGAAGAAATTAGCGCTGCAATCTGAAAAATTTCGCTCCATTTCTTGTGTCCACACTTTTCTTAAAGCCACGTTGCTGCTGCTGTTTTTCTTCCCATGACCTCAACCCATGCCTTGCTCTCTCACTGGATGTAGCTCATCGCGACACCTGACACCACGTGATGTCGAGTCGGCCAACAGGTCCAGATATTTAGCATGCAAGATATTAGTTTGCCATCGGCGAGGTGTCAGCGAGCGTCGTTGAGTAGTTCACATATAAAGATTGCCGAGCGCTGATCACCTGCTGATTTGCCCCCGATCACAGACAGACCTGTTGACGAGCTCGTAGACTTGCAAATCGGACTTAAATCGGGTTTAAAATCCTGTAGTGTGAAGTTGGCATAACACACAACAACGACACTTACATCATCATCACCGCATCTTGTGCGCCACTGATAAGGCTCCCTGACGTACAGCTAAAATTCAAATGCACCGTTTTTAAATTCGACTAATATTTTTTTTTTTCAAATCTCCTCATCGCAGGCAGGCACAGCACTCATTTCAGCATGTGTTCGTGTGTCCTGTCTGCTTGTCACTCATAGCAAGCGCCAATAAATGAAACGAGCCTGAAACTATTGTGTGCTATATCTAACATTTTTTCTATTGTCATGAATGAAGGTGTACTGTTGATAAATACCGATACCGTTTTATCGGCCAGGCCTATATGAAGGTCATATTAAAAATGTCTTAATTTTTCTTTGCTAATTTTTAAATGCATTGCATGCATAAGAAAGTTGCAAAACCCATTCATTTTTGCATAACAAAAAGTGTGAAAATATAATTTAATTGTGTGTATTTAAAATGCCAGCATTAAATTAACCATTAAAAAAAATAAATAAATGTAATTTCCACGACCATCTATTTCATCGTAAAATATTTAGTGATTTGAGATGACAGTTCTTAATACAGTAGGTAAGGAAAAAAAGGCATTCTGTATGGATGCCCACTGTTACACACTATATGTAGATAGAAAAATTCATTAAAAAATAAATGAAATAAAAGCGTGTTTTATGGGAGTTTAATTTCACAAGGCCACAAATTGAAGTAATACCCATTTGTGTGTCTGTGTGAGTCTGAAATGAGTCAAAGCAGTAACTGAGAGTTGGGTGGTGTAATTAACATTGCATGTGGTTCAATATTTTAACGAGGTGAATGGGTCTTACCGTCAGCGGCTCTCCCTGTAAAGCCTGCAGAATGAAATTACTGACCACTCGCCCGTCATTCATGTGCATGCGAGACCCGAAGGTGTTGAAGATCCGAGCTACTCTCACCTCTACACCTTCCTGTGAGACACAGAAACATGCAAACATTTTTAACACCGAGTTCAGCAGCAAGTGTTAATTATTCCGCGAACTGTGAAGATTCAGGATTATATGCAGCTGAAGCTCAAAATGTATTACTAGAGTTACACTGATTCTTTGTCTTGACAATATTGCACTGATACATGAGCTCCTTGTACCAATATCTTCACATTTTCATTCAATAGTCTAAAGTCACAAGTGCAAATGCTTCTATTTTGCTTTCGTTTTTAACTGGGCCTATCCGTTAACACACTCACATTAAGTATGGATGGCATTTGTGATTAACACACTGACAGACAGCATCATATTTCAAACAAATGTGACATTAATCATCAAATTTCCTTGATCCACCTGTCTAAACTGTAGAAACTCTCCTATTAAAAAGCATGTAGCCCACACACATTCAGAGGTGTTTGTCATTGATGTAGGGCCTGTAGCTCTGTCAGCATTACAGAGGAAGAAATGCAACTCTCTCAGTCTTTTGCATCATGCAAATGCCAGTGCTTTCATATTTCTAACATCCCATCTCACAACTTACTTTGGCCATGTTCATTTCATTTTGTATTAATGTAACAGTATAATAATTATCCATTACCCATCAGCACTCTGGAAGTTGAGAGGGTACACAGCTTCAAGGTCCTTGGACTACCATTTATGCATCTCTTAAGAGGGATGATAACCTGCACTCTGTTCAAATACAGCCCAATATACTATGTTAATATGAAAATTACATGTTAATATCATTTTTTTTTTACAGGTGTTTTATGCACATTTTGAATTACACATTGTATTGTGTTGTGTTTTAGGGTTGAAGGAAATGTACTGGTAATTTTCTGCAAGGTCTTTATTAGTTTTTCTATGATGTTGTTTTATTTATGTATTTATTTTTTGGTTACAGTGTAACATGAATTATCAAAAAAGCTCAATCTAACTTTTCTATCTAAAAGAGTTTCAGAAGTTTGGAGTATCAAAAGACAGCACGTTTCATTTCCATAGAGCAGTGACAAAACGTAATTAACATTCAATAGGCATATTTGCATGCATACTAATATGCAGATAACTACCACAATCAGCTTACTAAAATAACCCTTTTTACTGGTTTACATGCAAACCAATGACAAGATCACAAGATTTACAAGACCTTTTAAATGAAATCAGGTTATCCCCTAGTAGAGACGTCACAACAAAATTATTTGTGTATCTGACTCAGAATACTTCATTTGTGTAGTCAATGTGAGGTGCAATGTTAAAGTATTAAAAACCACAGAGCATTTCAAAATGTCAGTGGGAAACTCGTATGGATTCATATTCTTCTCGCATGTTTGCAGTTTAAGCGACTGTACCACTTCTCTTCAGGCTGAGCAAGACAAGAACACATTTTAATTTCTTGAGTAGGCCTGGGCGATAAAACGGTATCGATATTTATCGACGGTACACCTTCTTCGATAACGATATAAAAAATGTTCGATATAGTGCACGATATAGGCACGTGCTATGAGTGACGCAGACCGCACACACAAACACGAACACATGCTGAATTGAGTGCTGTGCCTGCCTGTGATGAGGAGATTGTGAATAAAAAAAATTAATATTAGTCGAATTTAAAATAAACATTTGCATTTGAATGTTAGGTGTATGTCAGGGAGCGTCATCAGTGGAGCATGAGATTCGGTGATAATGATGTAAGTGACGTTGCATTTTAATGTTTTGTTAGTCTAGCCCATGAGACGCGCCGCTGTAGAGGAATATAGAAGCTCAATGTGGAGAAGATCTTGATTAGGTTCGCGAATTTGTGGAGTTTTATTCCTTTTCACTGCATCTCTTATGTTTTTAAATGCAATCTGTGTGAATGGCGATTCGGGTCTTTGTATTAAGCATGATGCAAATACATGATGCTGTTTTGTTCATAATTGTTTATGCAATTTACTAAATTATATTTGATTTATATGAGTTAATTCAGACGTAATGCAGGTTTTTTTTATAGACATTTATTTATTTGCGTTCACAATTTAAATGTGCTGCATTATTTTGCTCATTGCACCCTCCTGTGGCCTCGGGAGACAAGCCAAAAGTTTCATTAAGACCTATTTAATCTGCATATAAAACATTAGAAATTAGATATATTCTATTGCTCTTTGTTTTTAAAAAGGTTATAAAAAATGTAAATAATTATCGATACCGAACGATATGAAACATTATATCATTGATAAATTTTTTAGCTATATCGCCCAGCCCTATTCTTGAGACAATTTTCAGTCAAGTGAAATTTTCAAGGCTACTAAACAGATAGAACAGTATTCTGAGTTAGGATGTTTCTATAATACAGCTCCTGTACTTTACAATGATGGGCTGTATTCTTATATTGTTCTTATATAGAAAAGTGCATATCTGGAGCTGAAAACAAACCACTCTAAAGACGAGCAATGTGAGGGATTATTTTGGCTGATTATGAGGGAAAACGCTGGTATGAAATTTTATACCAGTTTAAAAGGGAAACATTACAAATTAAACGACAACAGATTCTCAATATCCAAACAAACAGAGTTTACATGTAGTTACACAGAAAGCTTTTCTTGTGATTTCGCCACCTGTCATGTGTACAGATACTTGTCATGCACGAGAAATGCGTTTAAATCCGATTACGTAAACAGTTGCCGTGGTAATGAACTATGACTTATGACCAATGAACATGCTAACTTATACTAACTTTTATTTGATCCTGTTCATAAGAGGCTATAAATAGAGGCCTAAAATAAATATAGGACACTGCTGATGTACATGTCGCATCCAATTAAACTGACTCATGACTTTTTTAAATCCAGAAGACGACAATACAAATAAGTCTAAATTAATTAGACTTCAAAATACCTTCTTTTGCATTTCAAAAGAAGAAAATGTCATACAGGTTTGGAACATCATGAGGGTGAGTAAATGATGACAGAATGTCCAATTTTGGGTGAACTATACCTTTAATTTTTGTTAACGTTAATAATTAAAGTAATGATATAGTGTCAATCTGACATGTTCATTTAATAGCATCTCTGAGGTGGCTGAGTGTGTCATGGAGCATCTCTGGGTCAGAAAAGGTTGACAACTTCTACTCAAAAACACTTTATCATCTTGAAGTAACACATCACTTAGTATTCTCCACGATGCCCCAAGCTTGCCAAACTAGCAATCTCAATAAAAACAGGGTGAAAAGACCAGAAGACATGGTCACGTCAATTAAAAAAAAATTTAATAATAATCAAAAGAAAGATCACAGGGAAGAAGCAAAGCAAATAAGTCGTCAATAATTGAAACGGTTTATTTCTGTTCAAATAGCATCCCTATTCAATGGAACTGCAAAAATAATGACGTTTCCAAACATGTTTCCCAAAGACCCCTATGGATCCGTCTGCATCACAGAATTCAGGGAATTTAAAATATGAATGGCTTACTTATAATGATCTCTGCATAATAAAATGGGACAAGACAAAATATTTTAAAATCTACATCTTACCACTGTTCCCTTAAGCAATGCACATTGCACAAACTACAAAGTCCAATTACACCCATCTTAAAGGAGTTCCTATTATGCTTTTTCACTTTTTGAATTTTAGTCAGTGTGTAGTGTGTATGTTTGGCAATAAAAAAAGATCTACAAAGTTACAAATATCAAAGTCCACTCCAAAGGGAGATATTTCGTTTTTTTAAAAATCCCCTTTCAAGAACCACAATGATCGTTTGGACTACAGCATTGTTTTCCGGCTTTTGTGATGTCACAAAGCGGCGCATTAGAATATCATTAAAATAGTTGCCGCCTACGGAAATTCGAATGGTTGGGGGGTGGGGAGGGGCGAGGTCATGTTAGAACGCTTGGTTGAGTGCATCAGACAAGACGACGACGACGAAGAAGTGCTGCTGCAGAGTTAGTGCACCAGAGAAAACGAAGAAGAAGAAGAGCTGCTGTAGCATCAAATTTCCGCCATGTCCGTCCATATCCGTGCGTGCAAAGGTTCTGCGCGATCCTCTTGTTCAATATTCTCGGGGTCTGAATCCGGCTCAAATTGATATGGCAATATTGACGCCATCCTTAACTATACCTGAGCAGACAGAACTTGCTGTTTGGGCAAGGGGCGTGGCAGTACTGAAACACCATCTAAGCTGTTCGCCAATCACAACGCACTGGGACAGCTAACCAATCACAACACATTTTGTTTTTCGGAAGGTGGCCTTCATCAAACCCGGAACTATTCGAGCCGTTTGTGTCGTAATCGTGGCATTAGTAATTGTATTTGGATCAATTGTGCAGCCCTAATGTAATTAGAAAACTTTTAAGTGACCGTGCCACCAAAATTCACTATTCTTATTTTTCCACGGAATGTTGTCTTGCTTATTATAAATGATTTCTGTGAACTGAATTAACAGCTATAAAAAGAGGCATGAAAATAAAATAATAATACATCTTATAACTGCAAAATACTTAACGTGATATCATAACATGACACATAAATCATTAAAGGCAGGCCGTGTCATGGTAAAGCCTGTACTTGTGCCTGCATCAAAGACTGGCCTTGAATCAACATAAGAGAGAGACTGGGATTTTAACAGAAATAGTTGGATTTTTTGGGTCCAGCAGCTCTATAATTAACTCCGTTGACATGAATAAAAACATGAAAACTTTAATGAATAGCATTATAAATGAAGGATGGGCAGCAAAAATGCCAGACTACATGTAACGAGGACAAAACAAGGACAGCCTATTTAAGTGGCCTTTTTAGCAAGGAAAAGCACCCGCCTGATTGCAAGGCCATCATGTGATTACAGAACATGTGCGTGAGCATGACATTTCAGTTGCGATGACAAGGCCATCTGTTACTGTGATTTCACCACCAGTAAGACACAACGCCTAAAGCAAGTATGTGATACAAGTGCATAAAATGTTAGGTAACTTTAATAGCCTTGGTTCTCTGATGACATGAAATATCTCTGATGACAAT